AAAAGGTTCTTTAACATTGAAGAATAACAAGGTCCATAATCTTCAAACCAAGGGCCATAATACTCTAAAGAAGCATCCTATAAGACCATTCTATTCAAACCAGGACCATGAGGCACAACAGGATTCCTCTCTCGTTCCACTGTTCCAGACTCCAATAACACTAATCATGTTCAGGTTCACATTCAAACTTGTTGTTTATCATCATCAAGCACATGCTTCATTATCAGGCTTTCAGATCATATTCCAACAGGAATCTTCCAGAAGCCCTTTGAAGCATGTCATAATTATCCCGAAAAGCTCTTTGAATACCCAACCCTTACAGAAGGGTACATAGAGGCCACGAGACCCACCAGCATACACATAAATCACAGCATCAGAAAAAGACAAGTAAAATTTTTGGTACAAAAATGTTAAAAAGGAAAAAAAAAATGTTATTTAACACAAAATCTACAGAAAAGGACATGCATGGTCATGTAGAACATGGATCCTTAAAAACAGATAAAGAGGAATACCTTAGCTGCACTTTTAGTGCACACCAACTTTCTCAGGAAAGAGTTGATAAATTTGTAGATATGTCTCAGCTGCTCTTTGATAATCTTTGAGCTCAACATAGAGAGATGCACGATGAATTCTAAGAGTAATGTCCTTGGGATCAGCAGTTATTGCTTTTGAAAGACAATAGCCAGCCTGACCAACGTCACCTTGCTCTCTGCAATTGAAATGTTCTCAATCTCAACAAGTAATACTATTTCTATTTAAAAGCCATTAGATATTGAATGCATGTATAATTCAATTTAAAGTAGAAATGGCAACAAATCGCAGTATCAAAAAACATTGCAAAGAACCATTTGCAAATAGAAAAAATGAGAAAATTTAATTGTGCACCATATTCTATATTCATTTCATTGCAAACATCGATTAAGGTAATTTAATCTTTCCTTCACAATTACAGTGGGAATGTCATTACATAGAGCTGACTATGTTAAGAAAGATCACAGTACACAAAGGTCCCATTTGTTTAAGATTAACCAAAAAAAAAAAAAAGATTTGATTACACTACATGAGGGAGTTTTTGAGAGGATCTTCAGTTAAACATGAGGGGTTGTTGGAAAGAAAAATATATTTTCAACTTATTTTACTAAGTGATGTTGATTAGCTTATCAAAATAAGCATAAAACAAATTTTCTTCCAACAATCCCTCATGTTTAGCTGAAAATTCTGCTAACAAATTCCTCATGTAGCTTAATCAAAATCACGTTTATTCTCAAGTTTAAACAAACAGGCCTAAAGAATGATGAGGAAAGAATGTGGAACTCTCTTACATGGACCAGGTAAAAAAGCATTTTCCAGAGAGATGAATCTTTGGGGGTCAAAAGAGCCGCAATCATGTAGAAATTCATAGCCTTCTTGTCATCCTTAAGTGAACTATAGACAAGTCCAAGTGTGTGATATGAATCGGGCAAATTTGGTGCCAGCCTGATAACTTCATGCAATATAGAAATAGCCTGCATACAGTCAGCAGAGTGAATATATGTGTGTGTATGCGTGTGTGTGTGTGGATCGCTCTCTGGCAGAAAGAATCTGCAACTCAAAACAGCTTAAGCAGACAAAGTATCAACCAGGCAAAGAAAGAAAAGTGTGAATAATCAGACAAATTAAAATGCCAGGTCTGATCCCATGTTGCGTTAACAATACTCCTGATATCTAAAGAGCCGACTTTAAATGGATACAATAAAGCATTTCAAGAGTTAAAAAACCATATGTTGCATATCAATTAACATATTTAGTTTACTTTAGTCTCAGGCAGTAGCTGTTAACCAAATTGATTATTCAATGCTAAACATCTAACACAATCTGTCACTAACTAGAAAATTAGTGCTCCAACATCTAAGTAAAACCTCTAAGGGATATTAGCTTCTGAACTGGAGCTGTTCTATTAGACTGCCATAGCAAGAACTCGCTTACCACATTTGGAATTATAATGAACTGATTGCAAAATTTTAAAATATAAGGGCTAACCTGATATTTGAGGTGTTAAAGCCCTTTCTAATATGAAGTCATTTATCTGGTGAGTAATGTTTAATATTATTGACAGCAATAACATGCTGCAGGCTTAACATTAAAACTTTCCCTCATGTTTGTGTCGCGTGTAGCCTACTGCTAGATCTGTGAGACATCAATTTCCTCATAGTCCTGGAGTCTTAGGCAATCAATGAGTCCCTCTGTCATTGCAGCAATTTCTCCAAACAAGATATTGGGGTTTTGTCATGAATAAGATTAATGTCTTTTAGTGATGTTTAGACTTTATCACGTTATAACATATTTAGTTGGACAGGAATGCTCACAATTTTAAGGACGTTTTCTTTTCTTTCTTTTTTTTTTTTTTTTTCCTTTGGCAATTAGCATGAGAGAGGGTATTGCCAATCATATCCTTTTGCTACTTTATTCGTGGATACCAGAAAGAGGAGTCCTTGTCAAATTTTAGGAGAGCTGGGGACTTGGTCAATTTTATATTTTCTCAAACTTTTTCTTGGTTTTGGTCAGTTCCAAACAAATACCTTATCCTCCTTCATTGTATTATAATCTACCTACCTTCTAATACATTTCCTTTACTGTTTTGTTAAAAGAAAAAGTGAAATGCACATATATGGGCACAGGCATTAGACACAATACAATATGAGAAGTTGGATATGACAAGTTTTATAATTATAGCATACAGGTATGAGAAATATTCATATAAAATATTATATATATTCAACAAGTTAACGCATGAGAAATGATTTTGAGTTTTAAATGAGTATTGAAAAGCAATGTGAAGATATTCATAATAAGCAACAAAAGAAAGAGAGAGTTCTCTATAAGCTCTTAAGTCATTTCAGAACAATTCATAGAAGAACTATAATACAGACGTTAGAATACATTATATGTATTGCAAAGTACAATTGTGTATCTACTATGGGTACGTCTTTTTTAAGTATTGATGCAACACAGAATTTGGATAAAGTACAAGGACCAGGCTGACAAAGTATCAATATATAATCTACAAGGAAATAGAATTACAAACAATATGATGGCATCCTTATAATAAGAGATCATACCTACAAAAAAAATATATAGGGCTAGTAATAAAATCATGTAATATATAGGGCTAGTAATAAAACTATGTAGCCACTAAAACTTCCTCCATCATACTAGAGAACTGCAATAGCATGCTGCTTTGAAAAAGGAAATGTGTTTAGCCATAGATGATTGTGGGAAGAATATAATACCTCTTCATAACGTTCATGCGCATAATGAATTGTGGCATCACCAAGCATCCGTGTTAGCTGAGGATCGAGTTTATTCTTTGATCCTTTTCGTCTACCTCTTTTCTTGGGCTGCATGAGGAAAACAAATAGAGGAATAAAAGGTGTCGCAAGCTCAGATATCAATTTCAAAATTTTTCATCTTATTTTGACCAGCAAGTTCAAATTTTTATTTTTATTTTTTTAAAATCTAGAATCTAGTTAGTTGGATCACTAGTTAGTTGGTTAAACAAATAATAGTATGGATCAGTAGTTAGTTGCATATGCAAAACAGAAAAGTCTAACTCCTTGACTCAGTCATCAACATCCTTTCTAGGGCATTAAAAGATATATTATGCCGTTTTTTATAATAATCTCGTTTACACACTTACATTCTCTTAGTTTCACCTTCAAACCAAGATGCTGAAAGCACAATACTGAAGTTCATAGGCTGAGAAAGCACACATAGGCACTCTTCACCAAGATGCAGAGGATATGTCCAATTATAGCATTTTCTTCAAATGACAGGAAAATGAAGGAGATGCATTGCATTAAATATTTGTAGTCCTTTTCAAATGATTCTCAGAACAACTAAAGGTTTTTGATATCTGAACACAATAAATTTGCCAGAAAAACACCATTTGAAAAGACTAACCAACTAGTTCTTCATAAATAGTTTAACATTTGCCTCGATCATTCCCCTTGTTATTCAACCTAAATGCCCTCCTCAATTTCCACCACATTGTAAATTGTTCAAAAATTTGCAGCGCACCTTAGTTAAAAGAAGTCAATTAAGTATGCCAAAACCTTTTTTTTTTTTTAATACTCTTTGCTCACGTAAGCAAATTATACTCAGCAATCTGGGCTGCACAATGTCTCAAGAATTTATGATCATTCTCTATTCAGAGTTAAACCTTTCCCCTAACATATTATCATGTAGAGATATATTGTTCACAGATTATGCTGCATAAGTATGACTGATCACATGTATATTGTACCTTTCTAGACTTCCTACGAACGCCAAAATTCAGTGCTTCCATTATCTCCTCCATACTTGCCCCCGACATGTCCTCTTCCCTCACCTTCTTGAAAGAAGGCCCATCACTGCTTTTAGAGACATTGAATGAATGCACATCATACTTTTAATAAAATACCTATTTGCATCCCAACTCTTTAACTTATTAATAATTCTTCTTTTTCTATTTTAAAAAAAAAAAAAAAAAAAGGACATCCAAATTTTTCCTTCTTGCTTATATTCGTTATTCATTCTTGAACTTATCAGAATAGCACATAGTCAAATTAAATCTACTTGAGGCATAAAGCACAGAATAATAGCACAATGAGGAAAAACAACAATAAAATACACAATAAGCTGGATTCAAAACTATGAAATTGACAGTTGATTGAACAAGTCGGGCAATGGTATCAAACACATAAACTACAATTGAATATTATAATCTAGATCAATGGGAAAGCTGCAAACCCAAAAGGATAAAATGAGAGATAGAAATCTCAATGTCTAAAGATACTAGAAAAGAACCTTTAAAATCAGAATTCCTTTGAAGAAGCTTCAGTTATCACCTTCGCTTTCTAAAGTTAACACTGACATTTATCAAAGCCACCATTTAGGATCTTAAAGTAATAAAATATTGTTATAACATGATCAGACTTGAGAAAATTTATTTTTTCAGATATTATGCAGCATTATTGGATTGTATTATAGAGTGTTTAGGTTCCTATAAATCATTCTCGCAAAAGATAATTGCTCAGGCAAAAAAGAAAGAGTGATGAATGATGAGAAGTTGAAATTACGGTTGCAAGTCTTCAGCTGCTTTTCGCTTTCTATCAGCAAGAGCTTCATTCTCAAGGCGCTCGAATTGCTGATAACTCTGGACCCCAGAATCATTATTCTCCACAAAATCTAGAGGGTTGATCCCATCTTCGAACCTGAAAGTATACTCCCCATCATCTTCGACGTATTCTTCTTCACCTGCATCCATATCTTCTCCATCCTCCTCCTCTGGCGCGTCTTCTACTTCTTCTTCTTGCTTTTCCTGAACGTCCATCCCCTCTTCCCCGTTGAACGCAACGAAGCTGCTTCGTAAGCCCGCGTCAGCATCAGCACTGACGCAGCTTTCCTCTCCCGCCATCGCCGATGAGTTTCCGCGGTGAGTTAGTGAGTGCCCGTTACAATTTCTTTCCTTTCTTTTTTTTTTTGGTGGGCTTGCTGGGGCAATGGGCCTGGACAAATCCCGGGGAAAAAAGTCAAAAACTAAACTTCAAATGGGAAAATTGCAAAAAAAAAAAAAACATTAGAATTACAAAAACGCAGATAAAGACCCTTGACAACTTCACTTTGGATTTTGAGAACTTCATGACATATTATTATTGTCAAAAGCTATAATGAAGTTGTCAAGAGTCCTTATCTGTGTTTTTGAAATTCCAAGGTTTTTTTTTGTAATTTCCCCAATTCAAATTAAATTTCAAAAAATAATATGAAAATGCCATGATTTGTTGGAGGAGAATAGGTTTAAGATTTTTTGGTCAAAATAGGTTGTATTTTAAAACTCAAATTACTTAATTTTTCTTCTAATTAAATTATTTAAATTGAAAATTAATAATTCTGATTTATTGAAATATTTTTTTATAAATGGATCAAATTTTTTTATGTTAATAGTAGGATTAGTGAGAGAATAAACAGATGGATATGGGAAAAAAATGATTCATATTAATTCTTTAATTTATTTCCCTTGAAATATATATACTTATTAATGTGCATAATATTTTAACATATTTTAAGACAATTTTGTGAACATAAATAGCATTATTTTTTTTTTTAATTAAAGTATAGGTATCCTCCTATTGAAGGCAATCCTATTCAAGGTACTGTCAGGCACTAAATGTGAGCACCTCTCCCAGTAAAAATTCAAATCTTGGTTTGTTATTTTATGAGAGACTAACTCTTTCTGTTAAACTCAACTCTGTTGGTAGCATTATTTAGTTACACTCTAATGATTAGCCGAATAATGATGATGAATCGTAATCGGCCCAAAACAAACAAAAGACGTGAAGTCCCTTTTTTAACACTTTTTGTTGATTTTGGAAAATGTGGACCTAATAAGGCCTTCAAACCAAGTGGACTGAGGCCCACATTTCTTGGACCTTCCATGAGAATGGCTTGACTCTGGATGGATTATGGACTTGATCATCGCCGTCATAACGTCCAATATTCTTATTTTTATTAGCATAATCTCTTATTATGCTAATGCTTCAAAAAGATGCACGGCCTCTCTCCAGATCCTTTTCTGTGTTTCTTCTTATTTTTACGATATTAAAATCCCACCCATGTCACTCGATTATGTTATTGAATCAGCCTTTGGCCATATTAGTCAGGAGTTTTAGATGGTGCTAACGGGTTAGGCTTTATGTTTTTTTGAGTTAATATAAATTTTGATCCTTCAAATTTGGTTTTAATTTGGATTTGGTCCCTCAGGTTTTAAATCATATGTTTTGGTCTCTTAAGTTTCTTTTTATTTAAAACATTGGTTTTGATAATTTAATAAAAATCTGAATCATTTTACTGTTTAAGTGAACAAAACCTATAATTTGAAACTGAATAGATTAAAACTAAATTTATGTAAACTTAAGGGAATAAATATTATATTGACCATTTCCCCCTCATTTTACTAATCTTGAAAAGACTTGGTTTTACGTTAAGGAAAAAATAAAAGTGCATTTAATTTGTATTTTAGTAACTTCATTTTGTTATATTATACCTAATTTAGGCATGAATATTTCTTTTGCTTGTAGATAAATATCTTTCTAGTTAAATATTATTATATATATATATGAATATTTTAATTTTAGTTAAATTATTTATCATTAAATCATCATTTTGATTGGTTGAATGACTTGTATGACCTTTAGTACCTTGCTTATTTTACATGATCCAGCTATTTGGAATACCCTCCCATGATATCCCAAATCATTGTTGGCAAGGCATCTTCATATGCTGAGGTCAATACCAGCTTGAATGGAAAGGTTCTTAATTTGAAACTTATTTTGCTTCACAAGTTTACTAACTTTTGTACAATAAGTCATCCTAGCCTTTTTTCTAAAAATCCTCCTTCTATTTTTGGGGGGGGGGGGTTTGGACTTTTGTATTTTTCCCTGTGGTTATATTATTTGTGTGGTAATTGCTCAGGGATGCTTTACTTCTAAAAGTGGCATTAATTGAGCATAACTTGATGACATCTAATTATTGCAATCTCTATAATAATTTCCAAAAAGCAAACAACATTTGTTAATTTCTTCAATGTCCCTTGTTACAGATTTTGATTTTGATTTTGATTATCACGTCTGTTAAAGACACACAGAATTTGAACTCCTCTTAGAGGTTTTATGTGGTTGTTTTATGATTTTCTTTTTTTGGAACTGTAAATATTATTTGGATTAGTTTTAAGATGTTAAAAATTAGACCAGATATTAAATTGTTGGAACAGTAATTTCAGGGTGAGTGGCTACACCGTAGTTAAATCAGGATTAGCTCAAACAAGATTGAAGTAAAATATTTAAAAATATTTATATACAACTTGAAAAAATTAATATCTAAATAAAAAAAAGGTATCAATCCATAATTAAATGAAAGATTCATGTATAAGTCACTTATAATCTTATAAAATAGAATTATCAAGGTGCAAATTTTTTTTAACTCAAAATGACGTCATTTCCACCTCGGTTAAATAAAATAAAATTCAACCCAAATAACTCCATCTAAAATTTCTAATTGAAATTGGTCAGGACTAGCTTATCAATTTGTTGGTCTAACTAGAGGATTCAAATTGAATTTTAATACTATAATTATTTTAACACTTTATTATTATTAACTTTGCGAGAGGTATGAAAATTCCTATTTGCAGCTGCAATGAATGATTTGAGTTTAGTAACATGCCAAATTTGTAAAAGGTGGGTTAGAATTCATCTTCATCCTTAATTTACAAGTTACAACTCAAAAAAAATGAGACGCTATCTTTTGGTTCATATAATCTAATGTCTTTTTCTTTAAATGTTCAGCCCAAAAAAAAAGTCATTTTCTTTAAATGAAAAAGTTGATATAAACTCCCAGGATTCAAATCATCTAAGGGTGTGTTTGGATAGAAACCAAACCATGGTTTCAGAAGTGCTTTTACGGATTACGAAGTAAATATGTGGAGGAGATTATCTCGTTTTACGGAAAAGTGCTTCTGAAACCACGGTTTTGGGATACCCAAACAGGCCCTAAAGCTATTACTCACCCAAAATTGGAAAATAATTATAAAAGTAATTTTGCAATACAAAAAATAATAATAATCCATCTTTTATTAGAAAATCTAGTTGACTAATTTTAAGAGATTAATAAAGTTAAATAACTTAGTTTAAAATAATACACTTATTATTTTTCTCCAAATTAATTTGCTCAGCTTATAAGCTAATATATAATATAATGATATATGTAAATATTTTAGAAAGACCATGTAACATATGATCATATGTTATAATTAAGTAATTTTTTTAAATTTTTAAATTTTTTTAAAATTAGTCAACTAAATCTTATAGTAATGACATAAAATAATATTTTGATAGGAAATGTCAAAAAAAGAAGATAAAAATTATTAAATTTCAAATCAGGTTCGGTAACAGCACTTTATTTGGTATTGATGGTACTGAATTTTCAAATGACAACAAATTTTTGTTAACTTCCTTATTTAGCATTTAATAATTTCTAACTGTTTTTTTGTTATTTTTCCTATTTTGATTATGCTATTACATGCGATGAATTATATAAACTCTATGCAATATATGAAAATATGTTTAGATTTGTTTTTTTTCTTTTTTCGGAAAAAGATGTTTAACCACTATCTCTGATTTTTAATATAAGATGTAATTAAAAATTTAATTTAATTCTAAATATAAGATCTTATTTTACTTTGTTTTCAACATTTGTCTATTTTGCCTCATAATAATTTTTATGGTGATTACACATGCTAAGAAATTTTCATAAATACATAATTTCAATGCACATAATTAAAAAAGATACTCGTATTTTACAAGAAGATACTATTTATTTATTTTAAATAATTAACTTAATTTTCACCAAAAAAATAAATAAATAACTTAACTAATTTTCTTAATATTTATAAATAAATTACTCCTCCGATCCTTAATATAAGACTCATTTAAATAATTTGATTAGATTAAAAAAGTTAAGTAAGTTAGTTAATTATAAAAAATATGACACGCTTTTCCCAAAATATTATAATCATCTTTCTTGATACCCCATCTTCCTCTGCTACTTAATTATGGTTGACGGAATATCAATAGGGGTAATTTAAAGAAAATTGATAAATATGAGAAATAGATCTTATACTTAGAATCAAAACTAACTCAATAATTAGATCTTATATTAAAAATCGGAGGATTATTTAAGGGGAAATTTCACTGTAGGACCGCAGAAGGCAAATAATTTCAAAGAGCCCCCAAAACTTTCTGAAACCTCACTGCAGGACCAAGGGACCAATCTGATATTAATTTTTAGAGTGAGATTACAATAATACCCCTCCCTTTTTATTTTATTAAAAAATAAATATTTACCGGAGTTACTGTTCCGGCCACCGGCGCTCAGGTGGCCGCCGTTGGGGTCTGGTCACCGGTGGCCGGAACAGTAACTCCGGCGGGACCTCCGGTGGCCGGAGTTTTTTTGTTTAAAACAAAGTGGCCAAGGGAGGGTTTGAACCCAGGACCCCTTGGCACACCAAAAGACTTGTAACCACCAAGCCAAGCAACCCATTCAATTATAAAATGCAAATAAAACTACATATAACAAAATAAACGCAACAGTCCAAATGTAAGTGAACAAGTGAAATTAGATGATTTACAAGTGGAATTCAGAAATTTGCAACAAAAGTTAGGCAATTTACAAATAACATAATAGAAGTCATAACCCAAATGCAAGTGTTTAGGTGCAAATGAGCAAGTAAAATTTGAAGATTTACAATAAAAGTTTATGGATTTACAACCCAAATTTGGCAAACACAAGAGAATTCACAACCTAAAATGTAAGTGTTTGAATGTAAGTGAACAAGTGAAATTAGACGATTTACAAGTGTAATTCAGAAATTTACAATAAAAATTAGACAATTTACAAATAACATAATAGAAGTCATAACCCCAAATGCAAGTGTTTAAGTGCAAATGAGCAAGTGAAATTTGAAGATTTACAATAAAAGTTTATGGATTTACAACCCAAATTTGACAAACACAAAAGAATTCACAATCCAAAATGTAAGTGTTTAAGTGTAAGCGAACAAGTGAAATTAGACGATTTACAAGTGTAATTCAGAAATTTACAACAAAAATTAGACAATTTACAAATAACATAATAGAAGTCATAACCCCAAATGCAAGTGTTTAAGTGCAAATGAGCAAGTGAAATTTGAAGATTTACAATAAAATTTTATGAATTTACAACCCAAATTTGGTAAACACAAGAGAATTCACAACCCAAAATGTAAGTATTTGAGTGTAAGTGAACAAGTGAAATTAGACGATTTACAAGTGGAATTTAGAAATTTACAACAAAAATTAGGCAATTTACAAATAACATAATAGAAGTCATAACCCCAAATGCAAGTGTTTAAGTGCAAATGAGTAAGTGAAATTGTCGAATTTCACTTGCAAATCTATAAACTTTTGTTGTAAATCTTCAAATTTTATTTGCTCATTTACACTTAAACACTTGTATTTGGGATTATGAGTTCCATTATGTTATTTGTAAATTGCCTAATTTTTGTTGTAAATTGCTGAATTCCACTTGTAAATCATCTAATTTCACTTGTTCACTTACACTCAAACATTTACATTTTGGGTTGTAAATTCTCTTGTGTTTACCAAATTTGAGTTGTAAATCCATAAACTTTTATTGTAAATCTTCAAATTTTACTTGCTCATTTGCACCTAAACACTTGCATTTTGGGTTATGACTTCTATTATGTTATTTGTAAATTGCCTAACTTTTGTTGCAAATTTCTGAATTCCACTTGTAAATCGTCTAATTTCACTTGTTCACTTACATTTGGACTGTTGCGTTTATTGTTATATGTAGTTTTATTTGCATTTTATGATTGAATGGGTTGCTTGGCTTGGTGGTTACAAGTCTTTTGGTGTGCCAAGGGGTCCTGGGTTCAAACCCTCCCTTGGCCACTTTGTTTTAAACAAAAAAACTCCGGCCACCGGAGGTCCCGCCGGAGTTACTGTTCCGGCCACCGGTAACCGGACCCCAACGGCGGCCACCTGAGCGCCGGTGGCCGGAACAGTAACTCCGGTAAATATTTATTTTTTAATAAAATAAAAAGGGAGGGGTATTATTGTAATCTCACTCTAAAAATTAATATCAAATTGGTCCTTTGGTCCTGCAGTGAGGTTTCAGAAAGTTTTGGGGGCTCTTTGATATTAATTGTCTTCTGCGGTCCTACAGTGAAATTTTCTCATTATTTAATTAGAGCCATAAATTATAAAATAAATTTATATGATGAAACTATTTTATTTTTTTATGATGTTTGTTCACTGTCTCGTGGGGCCTTTTATATCTTTTCTCGAATTCTTTGCTTCTGTGAATCAACTGGACAGACTCTTCTTCCTTGTGCATATAGGTAACAACACTTCCTCTTCTCCATCTTCTTTTCTCCTCTCTCTACGCCAATCATACCAGGTTTGTAATCTCTGCCTCCTTCTATCACAATATTTTCTCTTTAATTTTGTAACGTGAATGTGTTTGTGTGTGGAACTATGAAATTCATTTTCGACTGTGTTTGGTTTTCTTTGCAGGTGGGAATTTCATAGGAGGATCTGATGTACCCGCTGGTGGATCTCAACTATATTGAAGATCATGATGGCTCTTGAAAATAGAGGTGGGCTTCTGTTTTTGGTTCCTCCAATTTAATTTCAGTGTGACCATTGATTTAATTCGGTTCTGATTGCTCTTGTGTTCTTATTAACGCAGATTGTTTGGTGGGGTTCTTAATCACGTACGAATTTTGTTTTATTGAGGACTCTCTTCTTTCCTTTTTGTTTTTTATGAGAAATTTCGTTTTTTTAGCTTCTGAACCAGTGACGGTTTGCTTCGCGGTGGTTCAATTTGATTTGATCATAGGTTGATGTGGTTGGGAACAATGTGGGAGAGGATTATATGGGTATTGGGTTCGAGTGAACAAGTTTTATCTCGAACGGTTCCAAATGTACTAGTTGGTTCCGTTAGAGCCGTGGAATTATGAAGTAAGAAGGATCCTTTTTTTTTGGTTTTCCCTTTGTGTAACTGAGATACTAGGACATGGTATCAGAAAGATAAAAACTTGGAACTGGTAACATGTTTAAAGGGAAGTGGGATTTTGAGGTGGATGATATCGTGGAGCTGGGATGTCAAGAATCAATAGTTAAAGGCTGGGATTATGAACATGCTACAGAGACGTGGTTCATAGATTCATGCTCGGTCTTAGCGAAACTTGGAACCTATTCGTCTCTAACAATGTCAATTGCAAAGTTAAATTAGTGCCAATTTGCTGATAGCGACCTGTATATGAATTTTCAATCTATCAATTGGTTGATAATTGGAGTTTTATTATTAAAAGTGGACACATTGGTATAGTATTTTTGGCAGTGATGGCTTAAAACTAATACGAGTAACCAGATTGAATAGCTCAACCTTTGTTGAGCTAAGGGATTCTTCAAAGAATTTTCTGACTGACATTTCCATCTTGAGCTATGTCTGCCTATTTCTCTAACTTTTCTCTTCCGCTGATATCATATCACTTCAAGTTGTTCTGATCAATTTCTGAACTCAAGTCCAGTACCTTTTTCTTTAGCATCTCTAGGCATCTATCGACCAAATATGATTGGATTTTTGGATGCCTCAATTTTGTGTTATAATTACTGTTTTCTTTTCTTGGCTTTCATAAGGAAAACAGACGCCTTATCAATTAGGTGAAATCAGGTTATTTTACATGATTTGTCAGCCTTAAGCGCAATGAAAGAGGGAAGGAAAAGGATGCACCAAATAAGACTCTTGAATTGATTGGTTTGTCTGCTGTTTTTTATTTATTTTTGCTGATTATTGACTTCTGTTGTCATATTGACCTTTATTAGTTTGCTCAATCAATGAAATATCTGAGTGTTTCAATTAACATTGTATGGTTAGAAAGCCTGGCCTCTCTCATTTCAAAGTGCAGCATTTGCAGATTTTGTTTGCCCGATACCCTTTGGAAGTTTGAATATGTTACTGACTTTAGTGTTGAAAGGCTAGTCTCTAGCGTCTTTCACAGGAACACATTCTAATGAAAATATGAAAAGCATGACGATTTGAGCTAGTTAATTTTAATTACTAATTAATTTTTTTTTGGACAGGCCTTGCATAATGATACTATTATGTTATTGGTAGATTAATTAGTTTCTTTTTAATACGTTGAATACTGTAACCTGTTATTTTTTAATTGATGTTATGATAAAAGATTTTATCTAACTTGCACACCAATTGATTTGTTGGACCGTTTTCCATGTTGGAAGATGTCTTTTGATGCCTAAAACATGGCAGGTTTATTTCTATTATTTGAAATTTACATTTTTCTGGGGTTCTATTTATCTTTCCTTTGGGAAAACATAGGTTTCTTATTGTACGATTAATTCTTCTTACGAACAAATTTCTCGTGTCTCATTTTTATGTCTATCTTTTTATGCAGAAACTATGCAAAAAAACTGTGAGGCATCTCTGAAATGCCTCCAGGGCAAGGGATTCCCTTGCAATTTGCAGTATAATGGGAGTTCTATAGAAGGCTTTACAGAGCTTAAGAACATCCCAAGTTTTCACCCAGTTGGGGATGTTGCTGAAGCTGACCACCCAATAGGCAATGAATTTCTCGAGCCATCCAAAGGATTTCACCCTAAACCTTCTTATAACCATAATTACAGTAACTGGTCAGCCTGTCATTTTAATCCTCACAAGGTGCCCCAGTCCCAATGGAATGCTCATGGTAGCCATTTGCACCCTTATCCTGTTGTGAACCAGTTTCAGTATGTCCCAATCAATATGTTTGCTCAAGGTCACCCTCATGACTTCCAACATCAAGAATTTCAGTATTTTGTGGTCATAGACTTTGAGGCTACTTGTGACAAGGATAAAAATCCCCACCCTCAAGAAATCATTGAGTTTCCATCTGTTATTGTGAGTAGTGTGACTGGCCAGCTGGAAGCATGTTTCCAGACATATGTAAGGCCTACCTGCAATCAGCTTTTGAGTGATTTCTGCAAGGACCTGACTGGTATCCAGCAAATTCAGGTGTGTTAGGGAAAAACTTGCCTTTACTTCCGAGGGAGAAATATAAATAAGAGCAGGACAAACCATCATTTGAATTTCATCAGTGATTTGTTGGACTCTTCATTTTGTCCCTTCTCAATGTACTAGCATCTAGTTATAACATTTTATGCATCAGATATCTTGCTTTCTTTAATATTTGTAAATTGTTCCGCTCTTAGTGCCAGTGAAGGGAAATTGTATTGTGGTTTAAACTGTTAGGATATGCTCGAGTGTAAAGACATTGGATCAATACTTGCATAGGAGAACATTTTCATGACTTCTTCTGGGTTTCAATGAATAGTTATTTTTTGGGGTTGTTCTTTATGGATTTATATAGGCATTGGAAAGCTCTTTTGAGTGCATGTGTTATGGTTTTTTTTTCCTTTTGTCTCTTTTCTTTTGATTGATGAGGATCTCCTGTCCTCTGTTCTTTTTCTTTTTCTTTTTTTTTTGGTATTATCTTCCTTTCAAACATTCTCATTCTATTCCAAAATAATCGTGCAGGAGAACTTAAGTTGTGATTTAGATTCCAGATCTCCTGACAAAATAATTGCTTGGACAACTATTTTGTTGTGAGTTATACTGAAACTGAACTATGATTTTCTTTCAATTATGATTTAAAGATTTAGCCAGAGTGATGATGCCTTGGAGATTTCTCTAGTTATTTATATGTAATGTGGCAACCGAATTCAACTATAACAAGCTACTTTTTTTTTTTTTCCCCTTGGAACTATTTGAATGGCAATAAAATTGAAGTGTTCTATTGAAATTGTGAACTGCCTTCAGGATAAGGACATTGTGCAGGAATTCATTTTTGGGAAATCAGTTTTAATTCATGTTGGTGGATAATTCAGAAGAGAAATGGAAGGAAAATGAAAATTATGACTAATGCCTCTCATTTGAGTCCTTAAAAGTTTATTTTTTAGGAGTATGCTAATTTTCAAGTTTCAAATACTACTTAGAAGTACTAAACAAAGGCTTACAAATAATTTAGTTTTAATCTTTAGCCCTCCTTCTCATGTGAAAGCATTTTGGCTTGAGGCTTCAACATAACACAGGCTTTCCTATACGTTAGGTTCTGATACCATTTGAATTCAATTTAAAACTTTAAGCTGTTAACTGAAGGCATGTGAATTGTTTTCTAATAACACTTTACACACCCCCATGCATGAAAGTCCTTTGGTTATAAAGCTCCGATATGGCAACTTCATCTCATAAACCGAAGTTTTAATTTGAAAGGCCAATGGATAGTTTATTATCTGTCAAACATATTTATTTTTCATAGGAGTTTCCTTGACTTTATGTCCCTTTGTCATCGGCTTATGCTGAATCTAGCATTCTAATATTGTTTGGATTTCCCATTACTCTGGGAACTTGCATGATAAAAAACCATCTGAATGGGCGCCCCTACTGGATTTCTTGATTCTTCTATTCGGTCTTCTAATCTGGGATAAGAGAATATGGACACTCAATTCTCCTCGCTTAGTAAACAAAAACCCTTAGCATAATAATCTCTGGAGAATCCAAGCTCCTTTACTATCAAGTCATTATTTGGACTGTGCTACTCAATTAGATTAATAATTGTGATATGCTGTAGTTTTTGTAGACCTACAAGGCTTGAATGCTTGGGCATTGTGTTGCTTCAATTTGGAGTGGAAGTAGTCTGTACAGTTGTTTTTACATTATGAAGCAGCGAGCCAGATGTGGTTTATACTTTTTCGAGTGTTCGATGAACATTGGCTGTGTCCTCACAAATTGGATCTTTGTCCTCTTCATTAGGTCTTTTTTGATATGATAATTTTGTTGATGGTTTTTACTGTGTCTATTGGTTTATAACTTCCTTTCCATTTTCGTAGAAGGAGCATTTCTTATCCTACTTCCTATCCGTATCCCTCTGTTTATTTTAGTAATTTATTATCCAAAATAATCCAGATAACATATGGGAAGATTCTTTATGAGCTGATATGCCTCATCGGTTGAGTGCTTTGATCTGTAGGGAAAAGAGTTTTTGTTTGGTGTTCCTCTGACCGATGGGTTCCAGTCAGTATGATATAAATTCTTCTTTATAAAAACTCAATAAATCAGTTTGTTCCGTGTAGTCTATGCTAAGTGTTCCATAATGCAATAGCTCAGATGACCAGATCTTCTAAGTAAGGATAGATTGTGTCTCACAACTGGGCTGAATGCTGTAGTGGAACTAGAAAGATCCTGGTTTTGGAAGCTTGTTTGATGATTAATTGTATGTGGGTGAAGTTAATGTAATCGCAGCTGCATCATATGACCAAAAGTTGTCCTTGAACCACGAGTCCATGGAAACACCACAATGCTTTCTCTACCTTTATGTCTTCCATTTGTAGCTCCTCAACTATTACATCAAGCTGTCTATTCCCGTCCATACAGTGTAGATTGTTAATTACGTTCTGACTGTGTGGTTCAGGTGGACAGAGGAGTTACACTGGGTGAAGCTCTCCTTAGGCATGATAAATGGCTTGAGAAAAAGGGAATAAAAAACGCCAACTTTGCTGTTGTTACATGGTCTAACTGGGACTGTCGGGTGATGCTGGAATCTGAGTGCCGTTTTAAGAAAATACGGAAGCCTCCTTATTTCAACCGGTAAATGCTGCACCATTGGGGTTTTTGATGCTTTAAATGTTTACCTGGATTTCATTTGTGGCTGACTTGAGCTTTTTCTGTTTCTTATCTTTCATTAGCTGGATCAACTTAAAGATTCCTTTCCGCGAAGTATTTGGTGCTGCAAGGTGCAATTTAAAGGAGGCTGTTGAGATGGCAGGCTTGGCTTGGCAGGGCCGTGCTCACTGTGGCTTGGATGATGCCAAAAACACTGCACGCCTGCTGGCACTCCTTATGCGTAGGGGTTTTAGATTTTCAATCACAAATTCCATTATGTGGCAGACTGCTGATCGATCACTAACGTGGGGGAATTCACCAGAGCACATGAGTGTTTTCCCTCATCATCCCTACAAAGTAAAGGATATAAATACCCCTATGTTTCAGTATTACCCTTCCTGTTTCTGTGGGGTGAAAAGCGGTAGGGGAATGGTGCGGAAGCCAGGTCCCAAGCAAGGAAGCCTTTTCTTTGGCTGTGGAAATTGGACTGCAGCTAGAGGCCCCCGCTGCCATTACTTTGAATGGGCTTCTCCTTAACCAAAGGCACCGATCATGATCGATTCTGAGGTGTTTTTATATATTTCATGTAAAAAAGAAAAAAGACAAAAATGAAAGCGGATGGTGAAAAGTAGCGAGTGGGTTGGATTGTCTCCTAGTGGAAGTCTGTTTGCCTGGGTGTGTGTTGTGAGCCTTCTGCATCATGAAGAACAGACAACAATCTTTACCTCAATTGTTCCGTGTTGTGTCTGGCAAGCATCCAAGTACTCTTCCTTAAAACAAAGAGGGAGCTTCGACCTGTAAAGCTGACTTGTTGACTGGAGAAAAAATTGGGAATATAAGGAATGGGTAGTTTAGGGTGATGATGCTTTTACATGCTCACACTGAGGCATGTTAAATTATCTTCTTTAATAATCCATGGGATATGACAGTTTCCTTGCTTAATTGGGATTTGGGAATTACTGTATCCGCTTGTGGCTGGTTTGCTGCATTTCTTTGTTGATAACAATTTAACGTGGAGCTTGACTGCTCAACAGTCATAAGGGTTGAGGTCACCTAATTTTACTTTGCATTAAGTTCTACTCATGATTGCTTATCTGGAAATTAGGGGAAATGGGGTAGTTTGTTTTGAAGTCCTTTTGTTTTGTACTCCTGGTTAGAATCAATGGTTTGGATTAGGAATCCTGCAATGGGAGTTTTTTGACGGAGTAACTTCCAATCCGGGGGTGGTTGATGACTCCTAAGAAAAAGAGGGAGAACGAGAATGGGGCAAGTTTAACTCATGCTTTTATAATCCTATGAAACCGTCAAGATTGATTCTTTTTAATTGTTCATTTAGGCTTTATTACAGGAGTAGTAAAACCTAATAAATATAGATGATGTATTTTTATAGTATTATGAAAACAATGCTATAAAATAATAAAATTGGTGTAGTGGGCTAAAAGCTGACTTAAGGTTGTGACTATAAGCTCAACATATTATTAAAATACTTTCAAGCCTTAGAAACTACGCCTTTTAGATGCACGTATACATAATTAATAATACACACGAATCAATAACAATTAATTCATTCATTAAATCTTTCTTAAATTGAATTTTTTTTATCAAATTTTATCCTTATTACTGAGGTTTTGATTGAAGGAGAGGAAAATCCGAAAATATGAAGAGCAAGTCTATGGGGGCAAAATTAATAAATACTCTTCCGGTTCTTAATATAAGATCTAATTGTTGAGTTGATTTGGGTTCTAAATATAAAACCTATTTTTTATATTTATTAATTTTTCCTAAATTATCCCTATTAATACTTTCCCAAGCATAATCAAGTAAAAAAAAAAAGAAAAAGAAAAGAAAGGATATTAAGGAAGGTGATTATGGTGTTTTAAGAAAAACAAGTTATATTTTTTTATAATTAACTAACTTACCTAACATCCTTAATCTAATCAAATTAGTTAAATAGATCTTATATTAATGACTGGAGGAGTATTAATGATGCTCTAAGTAGCTGATATTATGAACAAAAAATATTCCTAGAAAGCGCCCTACATTAGAAATAGAAGAGAGTAATCCAGAAGCCTCTAATTGTTAAAAAATACTACTTCCGGTTCTAAATATAAGAGTTAATTGACTAATTTGGGTAGATTTAGGGACCATTTAGATTGGCAGTGGAAAAAGTAGCTCATTTTTAATCTGACTTTTAGAAAAGTAAGATTGGATAAAAGTTAAATTAGATAAGGTGAATTGCATTTGTATTGAAGTTTAAAAAAAGTTAGTTTGTAAAAGTTAGATTGGTAAAAAGTTGTTTGGATTATGATTGAATAAAAATAAATTTGTTTGTAAAATTACTAAAATGGGTATGAGCTTTAATAAATAATGAAACATGATAAAAAATGAATTTACATAATACAATAAATTTAAATTAATTTAATATGAAAAAATAAAATTTAATGAGTGAATTAACTCAGTTTAAAATGAAGGGTTTGTTTGGATTAATGGTAGGAAAAGCAACTTATTTTCAATTTGACCTTTGAAAAAAGTTAGATTGAGTAAAAGTTAAATTTGATAAAGTGAATTGTGCTTGGATCGGATTTTACAAAAGTTAGTTTGTAAAAATTAGATTAGATAAAAGGTTGTTTGGATTATGATTGAATAAAAGTAAGTTTAGTTTGTAAAATAATCAAAATGAGTACGATTTTTATTAAATAATGAAAAATGATTAAAAAATGAATTTACATAATACAATGAATTTAGTAAATTTAATTTATAAAATTACCAAAATGAATATGAGTTTTATTAAATAATGAAAAATGATAAAGAAATGAATTTATATAGTACAATAAATTTAAATTATTTTAATATGAAGAAGTGAAATTTAAACTCCGCCTATTTAGTATAACCAGTCCCAAGCCCAAATAAAAGAGAAGGGTTGCGTTAGACCCTTAACGGCTAATGTAAAAATCCATTGAATCTCATGAGCATGCATCAATGAAGTTACTATGCTACTGCTAGGTTGTTGCCTAGAAGTGACAAGCTGTATGGCTTGAGTGAGCTAGAGCTGTTGCATCGTCGCCCAGATATAGTGTTAAGTAAGCAAGTGTTATTGCACTCTCTTGGACAGAAGCAGCTAAAGAAGTTAGTTCATGAGAGCAAGACTAGATTTGGCATTTGGAATATTGGGACGTTGAACCAGAAATCTATGGAGGTAGTAGGAGTTATGAGGGAGAAAAGGATTAACATCTTGTGCTTCCATGGAACCAAATGGACTGGAGAAGTTGCTACAAAACTTGGAGGGTATAAAATTTGGCACATAGGGAAGGTGAGTGCAAGGAATGGTGTCGGTATCATCATTGATGGAACATAGCAAAAGAATATGGTGGAGGTTAAAAGATTTGCGGACAAAATAATATCTTTAAGAGTAATTGTTGGAAAGGATACTATCAATATCATTAGTGCCTATGCACCTCAAGTTAGGGCAGAGACAAACCTCAAAGATAAGTTTTTGGAAGATATGGAGGGGTTAGTTCAAAGCATACCACTTGAAGAAAAAAATTTTATTGGTGGGGATCTTAATGGACATGTCGGTAAAGAAATGGGACATTTTGGTGGGCCTCATGGTGGTTTTGGTTTTGGGGAGCTTAATAACAGAGGACAATCTATTCTTGACTTTTCTCTTGCATATAATCTCAAGATTATCAAAACTTATTTTAAGAAGTGAGAGGAGCATTTAATCACCTACAAGAGTGGTGCATCAAAATTACATATTGATTTCTTTTTGGTTAGAAATCCGAACAGAAGAATTGTAAAGTGATTCTTGGGGATGGGGTGACTATCTAACATAGAGTACTTATTCTTGATGTAAGTTTTAAGAATATCAAACAAAAGTATCATCAAGTTATAAAACCCAGGGTTAAATGGTGACAATTAAAGGGTGAGAAGCGGGAGTTATTCAAAAGGACCCTTTTAGAGGAAGGAACCTAGGAGTTGTAGGGAAATGCAAACATAATGTGGGAAGAGATAGCTATAAGGGTTCGTATGGTAGCTAAAGCAATTTTAGGAGAATCTAAAGGACGTGGTCAGAGAGATAAGGAAACTTGATAGTGGGATAAGAATGTGCAAGAGAAAGTCAGACAAAAAAGAGATTGTTTTAAGGCCTACTTTTACAAGTTGTTTAATGAGGGAAGCGAATGTGCGACTTAAGACTTACTGGACTTGCTAATTAGTGAAGATGATCAAAATTTGGTTTTGTACCGTAGGATCTGCATTAGAGATATTAAGGCAGCTCTCAAGAAAATGAACAATGGTAAAGCCGTTGGACCTAATGATATTTCTATTGAAGTTTGAAAATGTTTAGGCAAGAAAGGTGAATTGTGGCTAACCAAGCTTTGTAATAAAATTTCACACTCTAAGAATATGCCGGATGATTGGAGAAGAAGCATTTTAGTTCCTATTTACAAGAATAAAAGAGACATTTAAAACTGTATAAGCTATAGAGGAATAAAACTTATGAGTCATACAATGAAGTTGTGGGAAAAAGTGATTGAACATAAGTTGAGGTTAGAGCCGGGAAAACGGGCCGAGCCTGTCGGGCCGGCCCTTTTAGGCCCTGAAATTATGAGGGCCGGGCTTGATATTTTTCTTTTAAAATGAGAAATAAGCCCTGGAGGGCTGGCCTTGGAGGGCCGCGGGCCAGCCCTTTTAAGCCCTTTTATAATTTTTTTTTATTTTTTAAATTTTTTATATAATATTAATGTTATTAATTTTTTACATTGTTAATAATATTTCAAATATTTAGTTATTATTATCATTTTAAAATTAAATTTAGTTTTAGACAATAATTTATCCAATTAAATTTTTAAAAAGTGGGTTAATTTGGACTTTAATAATGATTTGATTTATATTATATGCGTTGATATTTTTAAACTATATATATATATTTGATAATAGAATATTTTTATACTTATATAACTTGTGATTCTATAATTTGAATTAGAAATTCATGAGTTTCAACAACAATGTTTCTCTCATTAAAGTAAAATAATAGTTAGATTGCAAAGTTTAAAAATAAAATTCTTATAAAGAAGAAAAACTTGATATTTTTGTTACGAAAGAAAAGCATACTTATGAAAAAAAATAATTAATTATAGTGATGATGAAGTTTCAAAAGATTAATGATAGTGTTTATTTATTGCACAATTGCATTATAGATAAAACTTTTAGATGTTGTTATCTTGTTAATGAATGTTTTAGATGTTCTTAGATGTTGATGAATATTTATATATGATAATATTTTATATTTGTGACTTAATTTTATTCATATTTATGTCTTTTATTAATTATTTATTGGTTTATTTTATTTTTATAAAAAATATGATAAATATAAAAAATAGTATTTTTTCTTAAACGGGCCAAAAAGCCCGCGGGCCGGGCCTAGCAAATTGGGGTATTTTTAAAATTTCAGCCCTAGAGGCCCGGCCCTTTTAAACCCGCTAGCCCTGAAGGGCCGGCCCTGATTCCCGGCTCTAGTGGAGGTTAGAGACTTCTATTTCAAAGAACCAATTTGGATTCATGTTGGGAAAATCAACAACTGAAGCAATCTATTTACTAAAAGGGTTAATGGAAAGATATAGGAGTAAAAGAAAGGATTTACGTATGGTTTTTATTGACTTGGAAAAAGATTATGATCGTATGCTAAGAAAAGTACTTTGGAAGGATTTAGAAAAGAAAGGTGTATGGGTTGCTTATATTAAAGCTATACAAGATATGTATGAGGAGGTAACTACTAGTGTAAGAATGCCTAGAGGTGAGATAAAGGATTTCCTCATTCAGATTGGTCTTCATCAGGGATCTTCTTTGAGTCCTTAGTTGTTTAATATTGTTGTGGATGTTTTAACCAAGTTTATTCAAGAAAGAATCCCTAAGTCTATGCTCTTCACAGATGACATAGTCCTCATGGCAAAATCAAAAGAAGAGATTAAATCTAGATTGGAGTTATGGAGAAGGACTTTGGAATTGAAAGGTTTTCGCTTGAGCAGGAACTAAACAGAATATATGTATTGCAATTTTGGGAGGACGCAAGGCAATAGTGATTTGGAAGTGAAGATAAGGGATCAAATTATTCCTCAACTATCAAAGTTTAAATACCTAGGATCTATCGTACACGAGGATGGTGAAATTGATGGAGACGTTTCTCATAGAATACAAGCTAGCTAGTTAAAGTGGAGGAAGGCTACTGGAGTTATTTGTGATAAGAAGGTACCTGAGAAGTTTAAAGGAAAATTTTATTGGACTGTTATAAGACCAACTATGTTGTACAGTAGTGAATGTTGGGCGATAAATGGAAAACATACAAGAGCACAAAGTTGGGGTAGCAGAAATGAGGAAGTTGAGATGGATGTGTGGTCATACAAGAAAGGATAAGATTCGAAATGAAAATATCAGAGCAAGAATCGGTGTAGTACCTATCCAAGAGAAAATGGTTGAACATCGTTTAAGATGATTTGACATGTGCAAAGAAGGCCATTGAAGACCCCGGTGAGACGAGTAGATCAGACATTATGGAGTCCTATAAAAAAGGGCAAAGGAAGACTGAGAAGAACGCTCAATGAGATTATTAAACGAGACCTTCTAGCCAACAACATATTTAAGGACTAGGTTGTTGACAAAGCATGATGGCGTCATGTGATTCATACAATCGACTCCACCTAGTGGGATAAGGCTTCTTATTGTTGTTGAGGAAGTGAAATTTAATGACTTAAATATATTTTAACACATTCAAGATATCACAAAAAATTATTGTGAATATAAAGTGAAATATAATTTCAATGGATAAAATAAAATATGACCAAATTAAAATTTATTGTATTGTGACAAGATTAAACAAAATAATTACATAATTAATTAACTAATAAGTTATGAATAATTTGATCTCTGATTGTGTCATGGACATGATTCATATGCTATAAAGGTTGTGATGTTATATTTGAAGACAATGCTTGACTAGCTCATCTTCTTTTATTATAGTATCATTTTAAGTTTTTAGGAAATAGCTGTCCAATCTCGAACATCTTCTTATAAAGTTATGAATGGTCATTATTATGCAAACCATGTATACTTGTATTTGTAACTCTTAACTACGGATATAAGGTTATTCATGACAGATCAAATATGTATTAAATAAATGAAGCATATAAGTACGATAAAAGGCAAAATCGATCCATTAGAAAGGCCAGTGCTCTACCAAAAATCATCCCCAAAAAACTTCGACTATTATGCGATGGATTACTAAAGTGATAACATTAATTGAGAACTGTTACGTGTTATTCAAATTGTTTCCCCATGCTCCTAAAACAGAGGAGAGAAGTGAAGCGTGAGAATATTCTTGTGAGTCACCAATAATTGCCTATAAGCCTGATTAACTAAAGAAATAAGCAGGAAAAAGGAACTTCTGAAAAAACCAGGTTCAAATCAACTTCTGGCCTTTAAGTGATATGAGTCAACAGCTTTGCCAAACACAACCATCTTGGCCTAAACATGTTTAACCCTCTAAAACTCACTGATTTTAGATCCAATCGCCCTTCCAAACACATATTAAATGGGTCAACGTTTTCTTTTCTGGTCCATAAGCTCAGTTTCAATTTGAATAAACTCCTCAGATTAGCTTATCCAAAATGTACGTTTGCATCTGGCTTTTGATCTCCTATCAGATACCCCAACAGCCCTCCCAAACAGTCCATGATTTTCCAATTAGGCTTAATGTAAAAATAAGCTACTTTTGGGCCAGAAAACATTGACCCAAACAAGCACTAAAAAAATAAGTTAAGTTAGTTATTTGTAATAAATATGTGTTGTTTTTTCTAAAATATCTTTACTAATTAAGTGTATCAGTTATAATTATTATTAAAAGGACTACCTTGAAAAAAAATAGATAAGCATGAGAAATAAAATAGATTAGGGTCTTATATTTAGGATTAAAATAAAAGTAAAATAAAATCGTATATTAAAAAGCGCAGATAGTAATTTAAAATATATATATAAAAAAAAAAGCATAGCCAAACTTAAGCAAGTCTAGGCTGTTCTTGCGTAGTCTTCAGCTATATTCGAAAACTATACATCCTCTTTGCTGTTTGTTCTCCACATGATCTGTTTATACATACATTGTGCTGTTTGTTCTCTACATGATCCGTTTATACATACATTGCACATAGGGGTATCCTAGTGTCATCCAAGGGAAAATCATGGTAGAAAAAATAATTAATAAAAAAATCTCAATGACAGGTATGCAGTATGGATTTGTTGCCATTTCCTTATTGAAACTTGTTATTCACTTATTATGAAATTTTTTTATAATTACATTTATTTTTGAAGCCCCATAGTAATTTTCTCTTTTTTATTTTTACTATAAAATATTATGCAATGTAAGGATAAAAATAAATAATCGGTCTGACTAGACGACTCTAGGATGTCTACTTTTACGTCTATAATCTTTAAATTCCATTATCATCATCATCATCTTGTTTATGATAATAACACACGAATCTGCATATTTATTTCTTCTTTGTTCAAAGCGCTCAGTTTCATAGTAGTGTTAAAAAAAAAAAAAAAGTTCATGCTGCTTTGGCGTACTTTGGGCATATTTTATATTATTAGGCTAACTGAGGCTTAGCATATTTTAATTGCATAATTAATCAATTACTGTTTGATTTATTATTGCCATTTTTATTTTGAGATACGGGGGTGCAGTTGATTCTCATTTTGTTTGCAGAGAAATTCATCCAACATATGACGAATTTGCAGCTCACGGTGGTTTTGTGGTTTTAATTTTAATATTTAGTTCGAATTTCTCATCTCTCCTGTGATTGTGACTTGTGATTTTGAATTATACTGTTTCAGTAGTTTTGAATTTGCATGACTAAATTTCTAATTATATTTATCTGAGAGTCACTTCGGATTTATCCCTAAGTTATATATCTATTTATTTTCTGTTTATTCCCCTATTTATTTTGCATTTTATATATTTATATTCTCTTGTATGCTCAAACAATAGAATTGTCATTCTCTACACGAGTTGTTAAGAAAATTGGCACATTATTTTAATATGGGAAAAATATAAATCCTTAAATTTATATATTTAGTATACTTTTATGAAATCAAATGAGAATAAAAATAACTAACAAGTGATTAGTCAAAATGGTAAGTAATCTCACCTTTTATAAGGATGAGAACACAAATTCGATTTTCGAAAAGCGTCCTCGTCAATAGAGTCAACCCATTAAACGACGCATTCTATCTCCTTAAACTCGGATTAGTTGGCTGCTTGGATTCCTGGCCCAAAGAAGGTCAGGTCCATTTAAGGTGCTGGATATTGGGCGGGTGAAGTACCCCCGTACCACCGGAAAAAAAGAGAATAAAAGTATAGGGAGAATTATAATCAAATTCTAAAAAAGACATAATTACTAATAGGTTCTAATAACAACCTAAACAGTTTGTAATGACAAATTCTTCCCAAATATACTTTTATTACTTGAAAAGCATCAACAACATCAATAATAAAAGTTAAAATTTCGCACTCCACACTGCAAGTAGTATCTCAACTTTATGAGGTGACTATTTTGAGTTAAAATTTTTTAGTTATTGAGTAATTTAAATTTAAATTATTTGAAGTTAAATATGTACATTCCTCAAATATTTTCTTTCCCTCCCATTTGTTTTAACCAAACAAAAGAATGAGAGCACCTCATCTCCATCTTTTTTGAACAAACGACACTTCCCCCCAACTAACCAAACTGTTACTCTTTGCATCTCTCTTTCTTTCAACTTTAGAAGCGTTTAAAATTCAAAGAATTATCCTAAAATGCATTAATTATTCAAGCGTTTACCAGTAATAGTAAACTAATACTATACAGCACTCTTCATCATATGGAAGCATTAATACAACAAGTACTACAGACAACCAGAGCAGCCACTACTGCTTAAATCCCAGATCCATTGAAAAGTGCCTTCTTAAACTAATTAGAAACAGAGGATATGTAGGGGTTCTCATTAATTTGTGCGTTAGACTGACAATAGCTAAAGACGAAATGAGTAGGCTTACAAAACGGGTACCTAATACGCCTAAAGAATAACATCTACTCCTTTTATGGCTGTAAAATCCCTCCTCCCATGATGACATTTTCATGCTGCTTTCTGCATTATGATAATTCAACGAATTTAAACACACAGATTAGTGCTACAACATTGAAGACTAGCAGTTTCAAATGTGGGGGGCATCTCATACCTGCATTGGAAGGTACAACTTGAATTCTGGCGGGAGCTCCTCTTCAGAGTAGAGGCGATCGGAGAAATATATCCTTCTCAGGCGGCAGTTTGCATGGACCTGAACTCGCAGAGTCTCCATGTAGTTGGTGCCATAAGCTCTCTTGGTCAAATCAACCAGGTTCAACTGGATTTGATTCCAGCCGTCATCCATTTTCAGTGGCATGGTGCAAATGTACGGCTTCACTCGAGTCACAGCCTACATGATGTGGAAACAATCAATCGTGTATGTGGATCTTCGAGAAAATCTATATATAGTATAAACAGGAAAAACTCTGACAAGTCATACTATTCGTGAGCTATGAACACTATGGACTTGTTTCTCACTTCCTATCACGCATTGGACCCAAACTAATTTTAAGACATAGACGGTATCTATGCGTGGCCATGCAACTAGCTATATATTTATACACCAGTAACAGTTTTTGTATTCAATAAAGGGCCATCTTTTGCAATGACAGAGTTAGTGATTTAAAAATAACAGGACAAGCTGATTGAGTAGAACACAACAACTAATTTTTATCCCGTAATTGAATTACTAAAATCATGCGACGAAGAAAATGACATTTTTATTCTCTCTTCACTTGTGCAAGTAAAAACATTCAAATTCTATTCTAACACAACAGGAAGTAGGATTGTGTTCTCCTGCATTATTCTCACATGGAATAAGTTGCCAACAGCAAACTGAGAATGTCAAATTCTAAAAGTATAAATAAGACAATATAATACACATGAATTCACGTTAATATACCCCTTAATCTATTTGAGAGCGCAAGCAATGTTGATGAATTAATTTCATCACAAACGAAGGTAATGAGAGCAAAGACGTGTTTTCTCTTTAAAACCAAGACTCTTCTCAAACTTTCTAACAAGTACAGCAACCAGAAAAGTCATCATGCCAAAATACTACTAATAAAAAATCTCTTCACGGAGGATAAGGACACAATCAGGCACCAAAACACACAAAGGAAAATTTGAACGCCTGCAATATCTTTAGGAAAATCAACAAAAAGCAAAAACAAGGGCAAACTTACAGACTTGGAAATTTGAAGCCCGAAATCTTCGTCTCACATTCTTATCATCCAGAATTTGAATCTCAAATGTAAAGTACTTCTTTAGATTCTTCACAATCATAACCAAGAACGGAAGTTTTATACCAAGTGTTGCAGCTGGATCTGCAGGACATGTGATGTATGTGGATTGGATATTGGATCCAACTATTTCAAGTACATTGGACTGTATGTCTTCATCCTGTGGTCGTTTTATATGGCCATTGACAACTATAAAATAAACCCCACACAATATATAAGTCACACGGCATTTTAATCTGGTATAGACCAAGCAAGGGGGAAAAAAGGTACCCTCAAGAACATCAGAGATAAAAACGCTTCCTTGTTTTTCAAAAACATATTTATATAAGTTTTTATTAAGGAGTTAGGCAAAGCTTTTAAATAATAACAATAATAATTCTTTGTTTCTGAGCTGTTGCAGATGCACTTTTTTCGACAGAACGCAATATTCATATGACAATAAATGAATTTTAATAATAGAGAAAAATTGGCATTATGACTCAACTTCCTGATGATTGCAAGACAATTGATTGCAAAACTAGCTCTAAATATTATCATTGGATATTGCAAACCATAAAACACTCACCTTCCTTATCCCATATCTGTAGAGGTTTACTCCTATAAAATACAAGCAAATAAGAATGTCAACATCGTCATATAAAGTATTCAACATTGAACTTTGAAACAAGTATTATAGACCAGAATACTACATACCCAAGGCTATATAAGATGGAAAGAAATCCAGACTGGAATGTATTCTTAAACATTTTCTGCAATATCAAAAGCCAAAGCAATATCAACATGACGACACCAAAAAATTAAAATCCCAACACCAGCTTTCCAACCCAAAAAAAAGAAACACGCACCCCTTAACAATTTCACCAACAACCTGATCCACAAAAGAACAGAAACTATTTGGATAAAAGAGAGAAAAATGCGACTGGATTCAAGGGATGCACAATAGACAAACCAGACCAGGTCAGTGGGTGATCCATGGTTTGGTTTGAAAATAGGTTCAGGCTGGACAAGGCTGTCCGTTATCTAGTACAGCCTGAGCTTAGCCTGGCACAAAACTCAGCTGGACTTGGGGAACCGGTCCACCAGACCAAGACTGTTTTTCCCCTTTCAAAAGATTTGGACCTTTACAACCTCATGAAACGGTTTAAAATTTTAGATTTTGTAACATCATAGAATATAAGAAAGGTGAAATTTTAAAGAACAATAAGCCAAGAAAAGTAACTTCAGTTAGAAACTAATTTCATAACCGAATATAAGTGTAGAATTAGGAAAAAAAACACAAATAGAAAGATATGAGCAGATTGGAGGCATTAAAATTGAATTCGTTGTATAAACATTTGAATCAGTCTACATATTAGTTCCTTTGTAGAAGAAGAGACCTCATGCATCATTTACAAAAATCCATCACAATCTTTTGAAACTCTGGTATTTCCTCCTCTAGCCAAGTAGCGCAACAGTTAATATTCATTTAAGGTTCACCATAATCATTTGAAAACGATAACGGTAGCATCAGGATCAAGGTAAACATAATCATAGGGAGGACTTATATTACATGCTCCCACTGAAATCTTTGAAATACGCACAGTTGATATAATAAACACTTTAACGAAGATGCCCTAGTAAGCCAATTGATTTGGGCAACTCCTCCAAGCCACGGAAGAATCACAATGATCACACTCTCGCTTTTATGGTCTTCCAATTAATTAAAAATGAAAAAAATTAAAACAAATCAAGAAACCTTGCGACAGCGGCCGACGCAGGGTTGTCGATGAACACATATGACTTGGGGAACAAATTCAATTCAATTCTAAATTCAAAGTCAGGTTGGACAAATCAAACTCACCGGATTTTGGGACAAGACAAAGCCCTAGGGTTCGTACCTTCTTCAGACGGAGAACAACCACGTAGGGCTGACGACGACGGACGGCGTCCCACGGCGAGCTTGACAAGTGTAGAATGCCAAACGAAATATGAATCTGCTGCCCCCACCACCAGACGAGAGGGTACCTTTGTTGGGGTTATAAAATTGAATCAAATCAGATTAAATCCTTTCCTAGTAATTAGTAAATTGTGGACACATGGCATCTGCGCGACCTATATTTTTAAACAGGGTCAAGCTGCGCCCAGCATCCCGAATTATTTTCCCAGATACATCTAGTGTCCCAAAGTAATTCTTGGTGCATCTAGTGTCCCAAACTAATTAAAACGGTATATCCATATCCTGGGCTAACAGAAAAGTTAAGTTTGACCGTTAGTTGACCGAAAAATCTGACGTGTGGACACATAGGCGTCTAATGTGTATTATCTTGACAAGTTAAGGTGAGCCCAACATCCTAAACTATTTTCCCAGGTATGCCCAATGTCATAAAGTAATTTTTGGTACATCCAGTGTCCCAAACTAATTAAAACGGTGCATCCACATCCTAGGCTAAAACGGTTCGAAAAATCTGACGTGGCGGACACGCAGGCGTCTGATGTGTATTATTTTGACTGAAAATTCAATTTATTTCCTCCTCTTTTACCATTTATCTTCTGCCAGTTTTTAAACTTAAAAAAAAAAAAAAAAGACCACCGATCTACCCTCTTAAATCCTGGTACATATACCACTCATTCCATCACATCCTTGTCTTTAACATTTTATCCCATTTCTTCCACCACTCTGATTTGAAACCACAACTGCTGTTACAGCACACTTCCATCTTCATCTCTGTGGACTCCTCATTCGACTCGCATTTGTTTTCCTCCTCGTAGAACATAGTAAACTTCCCCTTAGTCACTCCATCGATATCATTGTCGCCTTCTGAGAAAACACCCGCCACCACCAGGCTCGTCTCGGGAGCTTTAGTCAAAATAATACACATCAAACGCTTGCATGTGTGACAACCGCTCTTTCAAAACCATTTTAGATTAAATCCAACAATTTATTTGAATGATTAACCATGATAGAAAAGAAGAAAACTTAAAATTTTAAAATCGCTATCATGGTTAAAAGAAATAAACTTATAATAAGAGTAACATCGATCGTTACCTTGGGCCTTGGACTTCCAAAGTCCAGAAACATCATTCAACCATTAGCCCAAACCAACTTATATTTTCAACATACGAACTGATAAATCAGTTTAATATAAACTATAGAGCTCATTAGTCAAAAGTCAACACTTTCAAAGGAGCGTTACACGTAGAGTCTAGAATGTCTCGGGCCTCCTCACGCCCTATCATACCAGATAGTAGTAATTAAAAGTATTATTTTACATCATGATAGTAGATGAGCCCTATGTGGCAATATATAACAAGTCAGCACATAGAACAAAAGCAGGGAGGCTATACAAGCTATAACAGCACACTATGCCTCTGGAGCCTTCCCTGATGGGCCACCACCTGAACTATCATCTGAAAATGTTAAACCACGGGGTGAGACAAACGCCTCAGTAACCAACTTTCCAACTCATCATACATACTAACATGTGCTCGTGAGGTGTCAAGTGGGATAATTATTAAATCTCAATATATATATCAATGAAAATACAAATATGTATATTCAAATAATCTCAATCATCCAAATCCTCATTACGGGAGCTAACACACAAGCCACATAAGTCTATCCCTCCCTATAGGGGATCAAACCGACCTATAGGCCTATCCCACACTTTGGGGGATGATTAAATAGTCACAAAGATCCATCCCTTATTACAGGCCTATCCCACACTTTGGGGACGAATAAAAAAGCCACAAAGGTCTATCCCTTACTCTAGGGACGAAGGAAGAAGCCCACCAATGTGCACCAATGGCGGCCTTACCACGTGGTAGGATAGCGCTCAATCCAAAATCCAAATAACAACCAACCATTCACAATATAATAAAAATGTCTCAATATTTTCCCAGTATAATCCATAAGATATAAATCATATATCTTTTCCAAACTTCTCAATCACAATTCCAAAAATCTCACAAGACAATTTTCATAGCTCAAAAGATATAACATATCTATTCAAGTTCCAAATATCAAATATTATTCTAAAAACAGCAAAATACTCACAAACAACATATTAGCACATATAACAAGTGGAAAGTGGTTACCTCTCGCCAAAGCAATACTAAGGATTACCACAAGGTCAATCCTTTGCTCAACCAATAATTAATCTAAAATATCTTCAAAACTTAGCCTTCTCCTTCACGAGGACTGCTGCTACGCTCTTTCTATTTCTCTCTCTGCTCTCTTCTCTCTCTCCTCGCTCTCTCTCTCTCTCTCTCCCTCTCTCTCTCACACGTCTGTCCCCTTCTGCTCCTCTCCCTTTTATGCTGCAACTTCTAACTACCCTTTACCATTTTTCCTTCGTGCAACTTACTTTTCCTCCCCAAAGTCTTCCTTCTCTCCCCCTAAGTCTTCCTAATCCCATTTTTTCCACACGCTACTACCCCATTTTCCACTCTCTCACTCTCTCCAAAATTTCCACCGTAACATTTCAACTTTCCACCAACTTTTGGTGGAAAGTTGACTCTATTTTTTTTTAATTTTTTTTTTAATAGGATATTACAGCATGTCCTTCATGTAGGATTTTTCGGTTAGCATTCAGCTGAATCAGCAAGGTAACGGTTTTAACGAGACTTTTCTGTTAGCCTAGGATGTGGACACACTGTTTTAATTAGTTTGGGACACTGGATGCACCAAAAATTACTTTAGGATACTAGGCGCACCTAGAAAAATAGTTCAAGGTGCTAGGCGCACCTTAGCTCGTCAAAAAATACACATCAGACGTCTACGTGTCCGCCACATCAGATTTTTTCAGTCAACTAACGGTCAAACTTAAGCCCGGGATATGGATCCACCGTTTTAATTAGTTTGGGACATTGGATGCATCGAAAATTACTTTAGGACACTGAGTGCATATGGGAAAATAGTTTGGGGTGTTGGGTGCACCTTAACCTTTTTAAATATTCATGAAGATTAAGCATAACCTCTTAATTAAAAGAACCACGAAGTTTGATTACTTGTAATCTATGTTAATTTTCCAAAGCATTTCTTTTAATTATTGTATTAAAAAACCATTTCTTTTTCTAATTAATACGTAAAGTTTTAAAAAAAATATAAATTTAAAATACAACGTAAACTGAGCAGAAAGAGTATACTATGGGCTGAACAAAATTAAAATCATGATAAATGAATTATGATAATAAAAGATTTGTTTTAAATCTATGACAAAAAGGAGATTTTTAATTTAATGCGCAGAGAATTTCTTTTTGCTACGTATAGCCATTCTCCTGGAGTATTGGGCACTGAATAAATTTATTTT